GTCTCACGGATAGCAAGCCTTCGATAGCCACCATTTTGTCATTGGTCTAAGCCACCACTATTATTTGCCCCTTGACATCCATCGATACCTTTCAGCCTTCACCCTGGCCCATGTGCGATCGACATCTGGTTTGACGACTCTGGGGTAGGCCTCGTAGACCAAGATCAAATGTGTTCGGGAACAGCCTTGCCAGCATCAAGATTGTGACGGAAAGTTCGAGGGTCCTGTCAGATAATAAGTTTCTCGGATGAGTTGCATGATTCGTCGCCGACATATCTAGGATCACACCAAGGATTCTGAGATTGTTTCCATGCAGGAACAGGAACAAGGAACAAGGAATAAGGAACAGGACACTTCGCATGGACGGCAGGCTGGTGTTTCAGAACTGCGCCCTGGTCCTTGTCTAGCCGAGTTTTGAAGGTGGAGCAACGGGCTGCAACGGCTCAAGGGTCTGCAGGCGAACGTGTTTAAACTAGCCCCCAAAAGGCCAATAAGGTGCCTGTGCCTGGGCAAGCTAATTCTCCATAAAGAATAGCCCCAACCGTAATAAGCCTCCAGGGCCCCTCATCGGCTGCGAGATACCGAGGCCTCGCCCCATTCGCTGCCCGTTAGCCAGGTACCAGGCACTGCCTTGTCACCAGCCTGCATCGTCTGCGCTGCTGGCACCAGCTTCAAACCTCCTGACACGGCTTCTCTCTCACTTGTTGTATCACCTTTTCTCCCACACGTTGGTTTCCGTTCATTCGCTCGCCGTCCTGTGGTCGTGCTTTCCGCTCCTTCTCAATCTCGTCTTTGTCCTCTCTCAGGTCACTCTGTGCTCGTTCAGCCTGATTCGGTGCATGTCTATCGACTCTTCTTTTCGCTAGATACCTAGATTGCTATTTCTCCATTGCAGAGCAATTCTCCCCGTCGCTCCTTACGCACAAGTGCCACACATTCGTTCACCTCTTCGCTCGTTTTATCGCGCTCGATTTCTCTTCATCCGATCCATCGCGGACAGGTGCCTGCAACTTCTTTGTGCCTTTATTTTCACCGACACACACCTCGCAACCAGTTTTGCGGCCTATCCACCTAGGTTGAGCCTCTCCCCAGCCCATTCGTAACCCAAGTCAGCGAGATCTGGCGCTCGAACCATCCATTGACTCCCGCACATCCGACCAACTCCGCAAGAAGGAAGCGCAGGAGCGCAGGAAGGCGGCCAGACATTGATAGAGCAGATCACACAAGGTACGCGGCTTCATGAGCACAAAAGCCGATTCTCGAAGGGTTCGGACGAGCCTTGTCATGTAGCGAGAGTGCTCCCGGAGACGATCTAGTGGACGGTGAATGCCTTGTCGAGCATACTGACATAATGGGAGTAGTCTTGTCTTCTTGCACGAACGGACATTTCTACAGACTTGTCACATACAGCGCCACCGTCAACTTCTCTGAATTCCTCACGCATGTCAGGAACATGCCTACATACTTCTAAAGCCTGGAAGAACTCCAAGTCCTGCTGAAACGCGGCAAAGGAGTCCAACACGCTTGAATTTACCCCAAATCACCATCGAGGTCTAGATACGAAGCAATAGCTGCCATGGATCCCTACCAGACTCAACAGCCACAACCCAGTCATGAAGCCCGCTTTCACTACTCCAAACCTAACTATGCTCAACCTTCGCAATACCAACAGTTTCCTCCACATCCATCAGTGAGAGTACCCCCGAATGTCAAGTTAAGTGCCCGCCAAGTGCCCGCCGGCGTTGGCACTGGTCCTCCTCCTGTCAGGTTTGACAGTTCTTCTCGCCAGCAGCAGCAGAAACCTACAGGGAATGGAATTCTGGTGCAGAATTTCCGATTCCCTATTGCTCCACCAATACCTCCATCTTCAGGAAGAATCAGACATGACCCTTCGCAGTCGCCAGGTCGCAAGTACAATATGCATCAATCCTACATGTCATCAGTAGCTGACGAATATGCTACCCCCGGAACAACACCCGGATCGAGATCAAGAGGATTCCCAACCCCAACGTCCAAACGCTATTCAGGTTCTGTTTATGCTGAAAGTGAAGCTCTAGGCCCGGAGGAGCGGTTCTATCCGGGTGATCCAGATGAATATGATGATGAATCAGACCTAGCCGGTTCGCCAGATCCAATGCCACAAGTCGTGCGGCAAGCAAGCCTCGGGAAACGAGCCAAGCCAGCCCTTACTACTATCAGGAATCGAGACAGTCAGATCGAGCAGAATATCCCAGAGGAATTTCCTGCTCCCCCCACCCACATCAACCCCAAAGCGACTATGGAAGCCCTTAGTGCAGCGGTGGCTGCTGGTATGGGTACCCAACATATCGGGTCGCGTGCGGGTACTCCTGTCTCGCGCAGTCACACTCCTGTTAGGATGCCATTTGACACATCCCCGTCCTCTACCTCGGCGGATAAAGAATATCTACAGACTCCCAAATCTCCGAACACAATCTCTTCTGGAATGCTTCTTACCCAGACCCCTGCCTCGTCACATTCCCAGAAATCTACCAACAATCTGCTTGGCTTGGGTATTGAGCAGCCGGCGATGAGTGACAAGATCCCTGCCAATCGAAGACCGCCTCGGTTGGACATGGATGCTGTCAGGGAAGCCGAGAGTCGCGGCAGTACAACCAGTCTGGCAGATTTGATCAGACGGGCAACAAAGCTTGCTGCCAATCTCGACAGAGGAAAGACTGCAAGCCGATTGGGCATGTTGGACATGTGGGGTAGTGGTGAAAAGCTGGGCCCTAACAATCGTCATTCGACCATGTCCGACATGCTGTCAGCTTTCCCTGCTCCAGCTATAGGTGGTACCCCGACGAAGCGAGATACGCTGTGGCCATTAGGTGAAAAGGGCGATGGCTACGCCTCAACCACCGATCTGTCCAAAAGCCACCGCACAAAACAACGGCGGAAGTGCTGCGGCCTGTCATTACCTATCTTCATCATCGTCCTTGTTGTCATCATCATTCTCATTGCCGCCGCTGTATTAATACCCATATTCCTAATCCTTGTACCAAAACAACACCGATCTGCCAGCCTCAGCAACTGTGCTGCCAGTCATCCTTGTCGCAATGGGGGCACCAGCATAGTGAGCAACGACGCTTGCGTCTGTGTCTGCTCCAACGGGTTTACCGGGAGCCAGTGTGAAACGTCGGAAAACACAGGGGATTGTATGACCATTACGTTGAATGACGGGGATAACGAGTACAAAAATGCAACAATGGGGCTCTCGATCCTCCCAACGCTTTCGGATGCACAGACGCGGTTCGACATCGCTCTCAACATCTCGACGATATTATCACTTTTCTCGTCCCACAATCTGTCATGTACAGGTGAAAATTCTCTAGTGGACTTCAACTCAAGTGTTCCAAACCTGGGAACAAGGAGGACGAGACGATTCATCATGCTACCTGGCTTTGAGCCCAATCCGCATGTGATCAACAAGCCTCATCTACCTCAAGTAACTGCGCGTGCAGAACCAACCTGCTCAGGATCATCTCTCGAAAGGAGACAGGATGGTGGCGACGCAGGAACTTCGACTTCTAATGGGATTGTCTTCCAAGCGAGCTCACCAATTGTAGGGCCAGTCAGCCCAACAGAAGCTGTAGTCACTGGGACCTCGTCTGTCACGAGCGCGACTACAACGACCGACGCTGGTTCGGCCACAACAACGGCGTCACAATCGCCATCTACAACGAGCACTGGTGCCTCCGAACCTTCCTCGACAGCCATCAGTAGCGAGAAGCTCGACTTTGCCAAAGTTGTCGTTCTCTTCGTCCTCCAAGAGTCTCAAGGCATGACTGCAGCCGTCAACGCCCAGCAGCGCATAGACTCGTTCTTCGCTCAGCAGACAAAGGGCAACGCCACATCCGACAAGGTGGACGTTGGATTTGAAAGCTTAGCACTCACGGCAAACTTTGACAAATTCACCATTATCGAGGGCGATGGACAGGTCGTGGGTGGAAAAGAGGGTTCATAGTCGGGATGAAGAGTGATGTGAGCCCGGATGCGGCCGGTACGTACCATTGTTTGCAAAGCCATGATGTCGTAAACGGCATTGGGATATCCGTTTGAAGATGAAGATGAATTTCTCCCTGGCACTATCTGAGGCTCCATATCGAAACGTCGAGGGATGTCACAGGATTTGGTCGGGACAGCTACTGTTGGAAATACCAGCGGGCGTCAAATGAGGCGACAGCATCTTGGCTACGTGTGTGTATACCAACGAGCGTTTCTTTAATGTCGTACTATTCGCGGTGAAGCTTCTTGTATGAGGTTTTTTGAGTGCTGGAAGACAAAAATTACTGGCTGGCTGGCTGGGTACCTATGTTTTGAGCCAACAACGCTTTACTTTGCCACACGTATGGTATGGTACGGACCAAGGTAGACTTGATTCACATGCATGCACAAGACTTTCTTTCTTTTCCTTTTCCTTTTGTTCTTGTATTCTTCTTGTTTCTTCTGCGCCAATCCGATTGAGGATATGATAGAATTGAGTCGTTTCATAACACCAAGTTCGAGTTCGAGTTCGACTACGTACTCCGGTACCTATAGTAGTTCCACCGTGTTAAGAAGGGGAGGGGGGGGGGAGGGAGGTGGCACTTTGGATCTCCCATCCACTCTCACTCGCCCACCCTCTTCCTAAGCTATTCATCTTCAAAAATTGATGGAAAGGGGGACAACAGAGAAGGGAACACAGAGGAAAGTCGTGCTGTGCTGTTTGGTACCAGTTTCATGATATCGTTCTTCGACAGGACATGCTCTCATTTCTTGTCTTCTCGTAGCCACTCCGTCTCCAAGCAGCAAATACATACTTGAAAGCTGGAGCTGCTCTCCTCACAAAGCACCTGCCCTCTCCCATGCAGCAGTCTCGGAAACAGATGATAGTCTTCACCCAACAGATACTCGCTGAAGCGCTGGCCAATAAAGTGCACTCTTCCCACACTATCTATCCATCGTTGATACCCGTCATCAACCCTCTTTGGAACCGCCATCTAGTCCCGTAAAAGCTGGTCGATTTCTTCCTTGGACAAACCCAACAAGTAGGCCAAGTCCAGCATGCTCTCACCAATATTCAGGCGGGCAGGAGCTTCCATTTGGACCTTGGATTTGGCTTTCCATGCCACACCCAGACCAGCCGTCTTGAGCATGGGAATGTCATTCGCGCCATCCCCGACCGCCATTGTCTGAACAAGAGGAATTCCTTTGTTGGCTGCTAAGCTTATCAACAAGTTACGCTTGTGTTGAGAGTCAACGATTGGGTACGCAGATTCGAGTTCTCCAGTCAGTGTGCTGGAGTCGGGGTCAACCGCAAGGTGATTCGCAAACGCATGGTCGAGCCCCAGTTCCCCAGCAAGCCAATTCGCGAGAGGCTGGAATCCACCACTGAAGACAGCAAGAGTGAAACCGAGTCTTTTCAGGCATTTGCACAACTCTTTCGCCCCTGGGGTGATGACAATTTTGGGCTTGAGCCGTTCAAATACGTCGCTTGGCACACCCTTCAGCAACGCTACTCTTGCTTTTAGAGATGCAGCAAAGTCGAGTTCTCCGTTCATGGCGCGCTCGGTAATAGCAGCAACTTTGTCTTTGACGCCCACAAAGGCGGCGATCTCGTCAATCACTTCCTGACAGATGAGGGTGGAGTCCATGTCAAAGACGCAAAGACGTTTGTGTCGACGGAAGACATTGGAGGGCTGCAGAATGACCTCGCAATTCCATTCTCTTTCGAATTTATAGATCGATTCGTGCTTGGAGATGAGAGAAAACGGCAAGTATTCGGGGTTTGGAGGAGGGCTAAAGGTAACCTCCATTACTCTCGGTTTGAATGGATCCGGTGCCAGACATCGGTGGGAAGAAGTCAGTTGCCTTTCCTCAGGAGTGTTGTGCACCAGAAGACTGTCAAGTGTAGAGAGGAAATGGGTCAAGCATAGTTGAGATATGTAGGCACCGTACAGATGATCAAGAGGTTCAGGTTCAGGTGCAGGCGGCTCCAGAGGATATTCTGAGATGCTTGTTGTCGGCGCGGAGCCTTCAGCAATCTCGGGAACCGGTATTGGATCTGTCGGTCTGGCTGGGGGAGATTGATCTGGGTGGATATGGGGATGTCGCGGTGCACTCGAGTTGTAGAAGATGGTCGCGACAAGTCTTGCCGGATCACCAACCTCAGGAACACAATTGGTGTGGGATATTGTGTAAATAGTTCCACTCTCTTGAGCCACTATCGGTGAAGGGGGGATGGCACTGATGGATCTTCTCGACGCGCTCGAGAGAGAAAGGTTCGAAACGACGCTTCGGGGAACTCGAGGTGGTTGCTCCAGAACTCCATCGATACTCGCCGAGGGTCCTGTTTGGCGTGATTTGTATTCAAGGTGGTCGTCGAGAAACGTACTGGCGCCCAGTGAGTCCTTCCCCAAGCTGAGCTTGTGAGATCGAGAAGGCGACGCCATTGCGAGCACGAGCTGACTCTCTAAAATGGCAAAGAGGTCGCGCAACAGCTTTGAAGGTCGAAAGGTACTCCGTGTCCTGAAGCCACACTAGGTCGACGTTGGAGAGTAACAGGGACGGATGAGGGGTGCGATCGACGGGATGCAAAACGACGTCATAGCATCTCGAGGCCAATGCAGGAACAACCCATTGAGGCTCAGATCAGCATCGAGGGACAATGGAGAAAAGCCTGGGTGAATATTCTGAGTGGTGGCTCGCCAAGATCCCTACCATTGAAGTTGCCTGGTAAAACGACCTCAAGCTTACCTGCAAGTGGAAAGATTGAACTGGGGAAAATACCTCCACCAGTTCGTGTAGCAGAATAAAACAAAATTCCGGGAAGATTGTAGCGAATTAGATGGAAGGGCAACAATCGCAGGCAAAAAGCGCAGTTTGACACAGCCAAGCATCCTGTGACCTCGAGACAGTCTAGCAGCTGTGCTCACGTGCATTTTCTCCATTTCCTGCACGTGAGGCTTGGCGAGATTGAGCACGCAAGGCACGATAAAATCTTTCATCGGGGCTCGGCAAATCCCCGCGCCCGGCTGTCGCTCTCTCACCCTCTCACAGGTTCGGTCCAGACTCGAGAGATCTCAACGTTACTTCTACTCGTATTGGGGGCTGTCGTCACCCTGTCACAATCTCACGACATCGTTGACCTTCTCTTCGCAATTTGCAGTGTCTTGTTACTCCCGCATTCTCGTGGCTTGGCTTGGATGAGGTGCTCGCAGGGGAGCTGTCACGTAAGTTGTAACGAAGGACGCTGCGCTCCGATTGCCTAGCCGCACACGGAGGTATAGAAAATGGGGCCTAGCTGAACCCGGAGACCCTATCCTCTAAGTTAGGTACGCATGTAATCCAGATTTTCTCCGACTTCCGATATCCTACGGTTCTCGGGTGAGAAGGCCAGCAAATGACAAAAGACGTTCAACGTCCAGAATGGGCGGCATCCAATGACGATGGGGAAGGCTCTTTGCCTCCTCGATCACGCCATCGACCGAGGGATGAGGCAGTTGAGCGATGAGTGACTGTTTTTGCAAATTTTGGCACCGGATCGCGAGGCTCTCAACTCCTAGTTCGCTCCACTGCTGAATTGCGTGCTCAACGATGATATCGCAGCAGGTTGATTTGTAAAAAGGTGAGCTTCCAGCACTTTCATCATCCCCCCCCGTGTTGTTGTCAGTCGGATCGCTTTTCAATGGGTTTCCTCTCGCGCTTCTCGTCCTCCCTCGCCCAAGTCTCTTACCTCTTCAACCCGTTTGCCTCAAGTGAGCTCGACATGTCTTCAGGAGCCGAGACCCCGTGTGGGAGTGGCCGCAGCAGCCCCTCATTAGGCGGTGCCGACTCTGGCTATTCCTCAGGTGCCAATAGTGAAAGTGAATTGTCCGAGGTGTACTTCACCAAACAACACCTTCGTTTTCTCAACCGCCAACTTCAGTTCCTCGAACCTCAGGAGATCCTCAGATGGGCCATCACCACCCTTCCCAACCTCTACCAGACCACGGCCTTTGGCCTGACAGGACTCGTCCAGCTGGACATGCTGTCCAAGCTCAAGGTCCCTCGCCCGCAGATGGTGGATCTCATCTTCCTCGACACCCTCCATCACTTCCCTGAGACCTTGGAGCTGGTGGACAAGGTGCGGGAGAGATATCCTCTGGTCAACATCCATGTGTTCAAGCCAGCCGAAGTTGAGACTGCAGAAGAGTTCAAGGAGAAATATGGCGACAGGCTATGGGAGAAGGATGACAACAGATATGACTATCTGGTCAAGGTTGAGCCTGCACAGCGGGCTTACCGTGAGCTGCAGGCATATGCTGTTCTCACCGGCCGGAGAAGAAGCCAAGGTGGCGCCAGAGGATCCTTGGACATCATTGAAGTCGACGAGGCCGGTCTGCTCAAGATCAATCCCATGGCCAACTGGAGCTTCAACCAGATTCAGCAGTACATCAAGGACAATGACGTCCCATACAATGCCTTGCTGGATCGGGGTTATAAGAGTGTCGGGGATTGGCACTCAACCCAACCTGTCAAGGAAGGTGAGGACGAACGTGCAGGCCGATGGAAGGGTCAACAGAAAACGGAGTGCGGTATTCACAATCCCCGCTCCAAATATGCACAGTACTTGATGGAACAAGAAAAGAAGAGAGAGCGGGAAGCTCTGGAACAAGCGCTTCAAAAGGTCAGCCTCGAGGCGCAATCATGAGACGAGGTCTGAAGCGATCCTCGTGTTTGGCAGCATAGCGTCGGTGTTCGGGACTTCGGCCATCGGTGATGGCATGGATGCATTTTCCTAGTGGGTTTCACATATTAGAGACATGAGCGACACGATATCAGCATTTGCATGCAGCATCAGGGGGTGGATGATGGATTAGTGAGTGTTATCGAGGGAGGAAAAAGAGCGTGGTGGCCGCGGTGGCCGCCCCGCGCCTTTACAGAAGCACGAGAGGGTTCAAAAGAGGCATGGGGTTTCTTGGCAACAGCAGCGCCGCCTTTGTGATTTAGACGAACAGAAGGACATCAGCCCCCATTAGGGCAGGCGCTCTGTCCAACGCTGGGAGGCCCTGACGCCCCAAAGCCCCCCTTGTCGATAGATTTATCACAGGTGCAGATTATCTGACCGCCCATTCTTTCTCCTTTGCTCATCCGCTTCCTCTTTGCATCAAGGTCCTCTTTTTGCATGGCTGGTTGTGTAGCACTCCCCCATGGAGACACCGCCTCTTGCCCGCAGTCATGTTGCAAAAGCGCAGTCCGCAAGGAAAAGTCTTTTGCTTGTCCAGTCAGAAACAAAATTCATAGAGTACTTGGTTCCTTTTCTGTCAACCTCCTGTCCTGTTATCTGCCCTCCCTGCTCCCATCGTTGAACATGGCAACGGAGATCGGCAGCCTTAGCGAGACCCGAAGAGAGTGGTTGGCCTCAACAATCCCATGAGGCAAGCCCTTCGGCCCCCTCCTTTTCCACAAGGGACCATTCTGTCGAACGCCAAACGGACACCACTGCCAGGCACCGGAACTCGGTGCAAGCTTCGACACAGACATGGTACATAGCTTCGGACGCAGCCAACCGCTACTATTGGAGATGATCACGGGGGATCCTTACTCGGTATAGGGGTTGCAGTAGGCAGGGGTCGCGCACACCATACATCATTCAGGGTTCGTAAAAATTTGTGCGCGGGCTCAGCCGTGGCGGGGATTGCAACAAACGAGAATAGAGTAGGTTTCTTACTATTTGGCCTTGGCCGCTCGCATTGGACGTGGTTATAATACTTCTTTTAGGATATTTCCCTCTCTGAGATCTCTGTCTATTCTGTGCTGTCCCTTTCCCTGTTGTCATTGCCCTTTCTTCAGCGTTTGTCCCACTCAACGCTGCGTGCCGAGCAAACCAATCCTCTGACGTCTTCTCTGGCAAAACCCCCTCCTACACTGTCACTATGGCCAACCCACCCCACGGAGGAGTTCTCAAAGATCTCCTGACTCGAGATGCCCCTCGACATGCCGAGCTTGAAGCTGAGGCTGAGAAATTGCCGGCGGTCATTCTCACCGAGCGACAGTTGTGTGATCTGGAACTCATTATGAACGGAGGTTTCTCCCCGCTTGAGGGATTCATGAACGAGAAGGACTACAATGGTGTCGTTGAGAACCTGAGACTCGCGAGCGGTGCTCTCTTCAGCATGCCCATCTGCCTGGATATCGGGGCCCAGATAATTGAGCGCCTCAAGATCAAGCCAGGGTCTCGGATTACCCTCCGAGATTTTCGAGACGATCGCAACCTTGCCATTATTACCGTGGACGACGTCTACAGGCCAGACAAGAAGAAGGAGGCACAGGAAGTCTTTGGAGGAGACCCAGAACATCCGGCCATCAAGTACCTGATGCAATCGACCAAAGAGTTCTACGTGGGTGGCAAGATCGAGGCCGTGAACAAGCTCAATCACTACGACTATGTGGCGCTGCGTTACACACCCTCGGAACTCAGGGTGCACTTTGAGAAGCTTGGGTGGACTCGTGTGGTGGCTTTCCAGACTCGAAACCCCATGCACCGGGCGCATCGTGAACTGACTGTCCGCGCCGCCCGTGCGCGTCAGGCCAATGTGCTCATCCACCCTGTCGTGGGTCTGACGAAGCCTGGTGACATTGACCACTTCACTCGAGTGCGTGTCTATGAAGCCCTTATGCCCCGATATCCCAACGGAATGGCCGTCCTTGGCTTGCTTGGACTTGCCATGAGAATGGGAGGCCCTCGCGAGGCCATTTGGCACGCTATCATCCGAAAGAACCACGGTGCTACCCACTTCATCATCGGCCGGGACCACGCAGGTCCTGGCAAGAACAGCTCAGGAAAGGACTTCTATGGCCCATATGACGCCCAACATGCGGTCGAGAAATATCGCGCCGAGTTGGGCATTGAGGTTGTGGAATTCCAGATGATGACCTACCTACCAGATACAGATGAGTACCGACCAAAGGATCAAGTCCCTGAAGGGGTGAAAACCTTGGACATCTCTGGCACCGAGTTGCGCAGACGCTTGAGAGTCGGTGCTCCTATCCCAGAATGGTTCTCCTACCCGGAAGTTGTGAAAGTATTGAGGGAGTCGAACCCTCCTCGCGCAAAACAAGGCTTCACCATCTTTCTGACTGGCTACCAAAATTCCGGCAAGGACGCCATCGCGCGAGCCCTACAAGTCACTTTCAACGAACAAGGCGGGCGTCCCGTTACCCTCCTTCTGGGTGAGACCGTCCGTCACGAGCTGTCCTCCGAACTGGGCTTCACAAGAGAGGACCGCGACACCAACATCGCGCGTATCGCCTTTGTTGCCGCAGAACTGACCAAAGCTGGCGCTGCTGTGATCGCAGCACCAATTGCACCCTTTGAGGAAGCCCGCCAGGAAGCTCGGGACACCATCCAGCAATATGGCAGTTTCTTCTTGGTCCACGTCGCCACTAGCCTCGAGTTCTGTGAAAAGACGGATAAGCGTGGCGTCTATGCGCGGGCTCGGAGGAACTCGATCAAGAACTTTACTGGTATCAACGATCCGTATGAGAAGCCCTCGAATGCAGATTTGACCGTAGACTGCGAGAAGCAGTCTGTCAGGAGTATTGTCCACGAAATTGTGTTGATGCTGGAGAGCCAGGGCTTCCTGGGCAACGTGTAGATGCAATTTATGGGCATGGGAACAAATTGGTTCATTGTATGGTGATAGGTAGTTAGAGGATCTGAAGAACATGTGGCCTGCTTATATAGACACTTTTGGTATCCTAGAAATATCTTGCTTGGGTCAAATGCATTACCTGCTCCACAGTTATAATAGAGAGGCTTAAAAGGCAATTTTCGGTAAACGCAAGGCTGAGAGGCGAGGCAGGCGCCAAGGACGCGTCAAGGCTCAGAGCGCATCTGAGCTCATGTCAACCTGCGGCCAGAGGTTGCTCCAAACAACCAACCACCAATCTCTGACTTTGGCTTCCTCGACCTCTTGGGACTTTCTCGCTGTCTTCCTAGTATTTGTATCACTATTTGAATACCATCTCGAGTCTTCCGTTCCCATTCTTCATCCGCCACCATGTCAGACGGCACCATCTTCAAGCCGGAGAAGGACTTTACGAAAGAGGCGGATAAGATTCTCCCCGAAGCAGAAGCACTAGCGAAGGTAGAGATGCTGGTCACTTCCATGAATAACCTGGCTGATGTTCTGCGCAGAAAGATCTTCACAAAGCCATTGACAAGATTCTGCTGCTTGAGAAGCAAGCAAGACAAGTACGTGATTGATGACCGGAGATTCCTTGCCCTGCCCTTTGCTAACTATTGCCGCAGTCCTCAGATCTCGCGACAACCTCCCGGTGTCTCGTTACCATTGTTACGCTATGCAAAGAGGCCGGGGATTGGAGCTTGATGAACGAGCAAGTCCTCCTCCTGTCGAAGAAACATGGCCAACTCAAACAAGCCATCACAAACATGGTGCAGGTTGTCATGGGCTTCCTTGACGACACACCGAATCTTGATACAAAGCTCAGTGTCATTGAGGCGCTCCGGACCGTGACCGAGGGCAAGGTGCGCAAAGTGATTCCATTGTATCGATGTGCCATCAGACTGACATGGGCAATAGATCTTCGTCGAGGTCGAACGTGCCAGAATCACCCGAATACTTTCCAACATCAAGAAAGAGCAAGGCGACATCAAGTCAGCATGTGATATCCTCTGCGAACTCCAAGTGGAGACTTTCGGCTCGATGACGAGAAGAGAAAAGACAGAATTCATCCTAGAACAGGTGGCACTGTGTATACAGAACAACGACTGGACGCAAGCCGGTATTCTAAGCAGAAAAATCAGCACAAGATATTTTGCCCGAAAGCCGAAGAAGACACCTGAGCAGTTGGAAAAGGAGAGGAAGGAGAAAGAAGCAAAGAAGAAGTCTGAGGAGCAGTCTGAACAGGAGCCAGAAGACGACGTGACGGATCTCAAACTGCGATATTACGAACAACAGATTACACTGGCGAAACACGAAGACAAATACCTCGAAGTATGCAAACATTACCGACAAGTTTTGGATACGGAGTCCGTCGAGAACAATCCTGAACAGCTCCATGCCGTTCTCCAAAGAGTCATCTACTTTGTCTTGCTCGCCCCGTATGATAATGAACAGTCCGATCTTCTACACCGCATCTATCAAGACAGTCGCAATTCTGAAATCCCCAAAGACGCAGCCCTGTTGAAACAGTTCACCATTCCGGAACTCATGCGATGGCCCATGGTCGAGCAGCAGTATGGTGAACACCTTTGCTCAACAGACATCTTTTCCAAAACCCCGGACGCGAGTGATCCGCAGGCCCATACGCGATACGAAGCACTGAGGCATCGGGTGATTGAGCACAATGTTCGCGTCATTGCCAAGTATTACACACGCATCACGTTCCCGCGTTTGACGGAGCTCTTGGATCTCTCGGATGATGAGACCGAGAAATACATATCGGACCTAGTGACGAAGAAGACGGTGTATGCGCGCATCGACCGGCCTGCCCGAGTGGTGAGCTTCGAAGTCAAACGCGGACCGGATGAGGTGTTGGACGAATGGGGCAACAGCATGAAAGGGCTATTGCAGCTTTTGGAGAGGGTGGGACATTTGATGCAGAGAGAGGAGATGATGGCGAGGATTCAGCCCAAGGAGGAAGTCAAAAGAGCCAAGGCCTAGTTCACCGAGGAATTTTGATGAGATCCTGCAGGTTGAGAAGGAAATTGTATCAGTATGTTGCTGTTCAAGGCTGGGAGCACGCTCTATTTCAATGCTGTCGCTCCAAGTTACATCTAGAGTGGCGGTCTCGGGAGATCAGTGCATGGATGCAATGGGAATGGACGGTTTCTTTCAGCGTCCGGAACACAAAATTGAGGTCAGATTAGATCGGTGCAGATCAAGACAGCATTCAGGAACTGGTGGGATCCAGATGGGTCAATGTTGAAGCTCTGAGTCGATACAGTAGAAGAGTAACCGAAATGATGTCCCGTGATCCTGTCAAGCAGCTCGTCATTACGAGCCAGAAATGTGTTTTCCAAAGGATCCAGGAACGCTGATTGACAGAAGTCACCGAAATATAATTACCACGTGTCGAGGTAGATGGTTGTGCATTAGCATCCGACTCCAAATAATAGATTGGACGTTACACGCTCCCAACGCGTTTCTTCGCCACGCTCATCAGATCAACCATGACATGAGTCCATGACATGAGCCTATAACACGACACGACACGGCACCACATGACAAGGACGCCAGCGCCGACGAACTCCCAAGCATCAAAATCGAGTGATCTCGCTGTGCTCTCAATACCTAGCGAGTAGGCAATCAAGTCAACATATCGACAAACCGACCTTTTACCACCATCATACACCTCGTACAACCAACCGCCTGGATTCAGGCGACGATAAGATTATCCAACAACAATAACAATGTCACAAAAGCTTCCAACACCTTCGGCAATTCCTCTCGCCGCATTCCGTGAGGCGCTCAGGCTATACCCCTCACTGGTCGAGAACGTGTACAGATCCAAGTTGAAGAACGACAACAAGAAAGTCACTGAGGCGTTGAAGCGCGATCGCTGGAGGTTCGACGAGCTGCCCGCCGCTGTTGCTGCTGCTGCTGCGGCCGAGCCCGTCTCTAGCGGTGCTGATGTTGATGGTGAAGTTGCGTCAGCGTCCAAGAAGGACAAGAGTAAGACGAAGCAGGTGAAGACGAAGAAGAATGGATCTTCCGGTACGCAAGGTGGCGGCGGCGGCGGCGGAGGGCTGACGAAAGATGATGTTGAGAGGTTGGTGCAGTGGAAGATGTGAGTCTGTTCCTTGTCAAGTCAAGTCAAGTCAAGTCGATTCTATTTCATTTCCTACGCTACGCCTGGTCTCTGTTCGCAGGATTTGTTTCTACCACGGGAGTGGGACGGATGCGTGGTTCATTGTCGATCCCGGCCGGGGTCATGATGGAACGATATGGCATGACATGCCATACTCCAAAAGACTAGCTGTCTGCTTTTGCTTTTAAGGAGCTGCTATTCACCATTCTCTCTGCTTTCCTGGGCCACGCCCATGACCCATTTGTCACTGCGCAGAAAGAAAGCTGACCCCTTTTCCCCGTTTGTTCAGAACCCACGGCCACTCGCGGCCCTTTCTCCCAGCCATGGTGCGCAAGAACGACGCCTCGGCGGTTCAAGCCCAGACGTGTCTGGCCTTTGCCAAACTCTCGTCCTCATCAACCTCAAAATCAACTTCAGGCGCCTCCCCCCAACCGTCCCGTCCATCCACCGCCGTCATAACCGACGCCCTCGACGCCGTCTGCAAACTGACCGGCATCGGCCCCGCCACGGGGACCTTGATCCTCAACGTCTTCGACCCGGTCCACGTCCCCTTCTTCCAGGACGAGATGTACCTGTGGTTCTTCCCCACTGCGGACAAGAAGCTCAAGTACTCGCTCAAGGAGTACACGGCGCTGCTCGAGGCCGCGGGGCCGGTGCTGGAGAGGTTGAACGTCACTGCCCGCGAGTTGGAACAGGTCGCTTATGTCCTGGGTCATGTGGATCTGTTAGAGGGGGTGGAGCGGAAGGGCTTGCTCGACGCGTTTGACAAGCATCCGGGGTTCGATGAGGCAGGGGTTCGTGGTGAGGGTGAGGGTGAAGGCGAGGGCGAAGATGGTGATAACGATGCGAAGGACAATAGCCCTCAACAGCCACAGCCACAACAGCCAACACCGGCTCAGAAAGGCAGGAAACGGACAGCTCTAACAAAGGACGAAGACAACAAAGAGGAAACCCGGGCACCGAAACGACGATCACAACGCAAAAGATGATTGATATCAATGTCCCCTCAAAAGGAGACCGCGACTGAGGGCCCAAGGCTGGGGAGAGATTATAAATTGATTAACTATTTGATTTTCCTTCCACAAGGGCCGGTGTTGACTCCCCCAAGAAAAGAGATCATCTACGCCGCGGGTTGGAAGAGCAACAAACATTTGTCCCGTTTCTTTTTGATTTTTCCCACCACCATTTGTCCCAGAACGCAATGCTTGCAGAGAAACATAACACAGCAAGGAAGGAATTATCAACCAGTTGTCCCTGGGGCTCTTTTAAGTTCCTTTTGTCAAATTTACAGGACAAGACCCAATCCAGCGAGAGCAAGGGCCACGATGCCACGGCCCAGCTCCAGGGTTGGTGCGGCGTTGTCGGACGAGGAGCCGTCGGTGGCACTGGCGCTGGCGCTGGCGGTTGTGGAAGTGCCGTCGCCAAACGAGAAGTCGGTTGATGAGGCACTGCCGGAGGCAGTAGTGGCGGGTGCGGTGGTGCTGGGGGCCGCGGACACGGGTGTGCTGCTGGTGGACGGGTAGGCGGATGCGGCCACACAGTATTGGTCACGCTGCTGTTGGACCGTCGTGACGCCCGAGTCGTTGGGGCAGTTGTTGTAGCAGGTCAGCAGGTTGCCGTACTGAGTACACAGGCAGCCGTAGTCGGTGCTCTGGCACGAGTTCACCTGTCCCTGGATGGTAGCGAGGCAGGCATCGAGAATGCTGTTCACATTTTGTTAGCAAAGTTCTTGGTTGCTTGAAGGGTAATGGGGCGTCCAGTGGTCTCACTTTTGGGCGGCACAGGTCGAGGTCGAGGTCGAGGTGGTTGCCGAGCTGGTGGCTGTCTGAGCAGCTGCCAGGGAGGCAATAGATGCCAACAGAAGAGTTGTCAACTGCATGATTGATAGGTGTCGAGGAAGCAAAGGTTGAGATATGGTGCCAAAAATGCTGATCAACGAAAGACTCGAAACTGAGCAGGAGAAGCAAATAACGAATGTATGTAACGGAGACAACAACACACAATGACAAGCCTATTACCGCTGTATATAGACACCACGAGAAACAAAGCAACGGGGACGAAAAAAAAGGGGACTGGCGTTCCTGGGGGAAAGGAGTAAAAGATAAATACGAATGGAAAGTAATAGTAGCTCGGCCGCTAGCTAGCTAGCCTACCCAGCACCAATGCCTGACATGCACGCGGTAACCCTCAACGACCCTTGACAGCAATTGGGAAAACAATGGGCTTGTCAGAGTGGATAGGATAAGTTTTGGACTGGGGTTTGGTTCAAACTGGTTCGACTTGACTGGATCGAGGCCTGAACCCCCGTGGCGTGGCGGCTCCAAAGCGACACGGGCCGGAGGATTGGTCCAGTCGGATACATTTCAGGAGTCCGGAGGTTGTGGGGAAAAGACAAGCATTGACCCCCGATCATCTCGTTAGACGGAGCGACGGATCTCTCTTTCAGTGGCTAGCCCCTCATGTGGCATTGGCCGCCACCAGACTGAGACATGCCTTTGCATCTTGCTTGTTCACTTGTGACTGTGCCTCTTTCTCTTTTTTTCCCGCTGGTGGGAACAAGTCAGACATTTGACGGTGAGAATTCAAAGAAGGGTGTGGTGGTGTCGGTCATGCGGTTGGTGGATTCTGGTTTCTCGGAGGACAGCTGGCTGGTCAACAATTGTTTCGGACAAGGGCTCCCCCTATCCACTCGGCCTCGTGTACGAGTAGGGAGTCCATGTTATGTCAAAAAAAAGACATCAATAGCCTGGCAGCAAGGGTAGAGGAATGACAACAACATGTGATGGAAAAAGCCTTGCTTGGTGCAGACGGTGCAGCAGGTGGTGGTGGTGCGGCTATGGGAAAAGTGACAGTGATGGAAATTAGCATCGGCGCTAACACCGGTGCCAAGACTGACCAGTGTTGCCTGTGGAAAATTGATTTGTTCTAGGAAGAGTTTAGCTCACTTAGCCACTCTAAAGTCCATTCCCTGCGCTATCACGTACAGAAGCAGTCCACTTTAAATAGATTTCTACCCCTTAGGAGGTATTTTTCCTTCCGTTGGATCAAGATTGCTCGACAAGTACGGAGTGCGGAGTACTCGTACAGCACCTCGTACCTGTTGACCAATGGTATTGTCTTTCACTATTGACGTACAAGGTGGTTTCCTTGAAGCATGGTTGGTAGGAATGGGTTTGTTGTTCACGTTCCTCGGACTTGGGGGAAACTTCTGGTTGACTGAAGCATGTTTAGTGGACGTGTCTTGACCTCAAAACTTCAACTGTCAAAAGGGTGGAGATGACGGACAATCCAAGAAACAACCAACCCAAACTATTCCGAAAATAGTAGTGTGCCAGAACTGCCACACTCCGCTGATGGGACCGGGATCCGATTGTTTCTGACGGCCTGCAGAAGCTACCTGGAGCCCAAGGTTGGGTACATCGACGGACATAAGAAGAAGGGCTGTTTCTACACATGATAGGGCCAGACACTTTTTTGCGAGTCTATTACCTCTACGAGAACTCTTATTACATCTAAAACTCCAGAAGGTGGTGCTTGGGAGTGTCCCGGCTGTACTCTACACAAAGAAAACAGCAAACTGAGAGGTGGATCTTAAATATAATTGTGCATGTCGTCAATGAGCTCAACTGCCAGCTGGTCGCTCTGAAACAGAGTTTCGAACACTCGTTTGGACGTTCCAAACCTTGACCAACGTCCCAGATATCCCAAGTCGGGATATTGTCGCTTCACGCAGATGGCCTAAATTCATGTCGATGCTATGGTGTTCAGCGAAACCCTGCAGCTCCGAGTAACCCTGACTGGACTTCGCTGCACTGCCATACCAGCATCTCAGCCTCATCGAGGTGTGTCACACGGGCCGATATGCAGCCAGGGAGGAAGAATCCCTTATTCACAAGAGAGCGGGAGAAAGACTGATGTCGTCTGTGTCATGCAAGTTTCGGTCGATTCTGGAATCCCGTCACTGCATCAACCTGCAGTGTGGTTCGTCCACTCCTTTCTTGTGGCGGTACATGGTATTTTCCAATGTTAGTTCTGTTTCCACGGTGTTAAGACTCTAAGAAGCAAAAGCTTGAAGAGGAATCGTCGGTATAACGTTAATCAGTCTACATCGATTAGACAGGCTGCTTTCCACAGTCTTGGGGGTCCGCGATCTGATCGGTACATGGACAATCTGTTGTGCAGCAGACTGTCGTGTCTTCAAAGGAAGCGTATACTATTTCCCAATCAATGTTGTGCTGATGACGGAAATCTGACATGCCACCTGGCTGAAACCTATTTTGAGTGCTTGTTGCACAAGGTCTTAATACAGAGGCACCGAAGACGATCATATAGTCCACTGTCTTGATCGACCCTTCAACTCCATCAGCCTCTTGCCAACTCCTTGTATTACCCAAGACCTCAACTAAGAATGGCAAGGACGAGGTACACAGGTCCAAGCCAATGGAATGCCTACCAGACCAGCACCGAGGACATTGCTGCCGAAGGTACGATGACAACAGCATGATCTCCTGCTGACTTCGAGTTTGGCAATTTCCATGGCCGCACTTCATCTGGATTTTCTGGCAGATTATTGTCGCCCATACTCTGTCAGTTTGAATTTGCGCTGTCCCATGTTCCCTGCTTTATGATATGTACTGTATTTTTGTATCATTCGGAAATTGGATATGTCTTCCAGAAGACACGATGATGGATGAGCCGAGCCCAAGAGAGCCTCTCGCCGAAAGATCGGTTTCGTTCAAGTAGGACTGCGTATTTTGTCAGGGTCAAAGCCGGATCCTGACGTTGCGAGAACTCTTCAAGGATGTCCAACCCAGCAGTTAAACATCGCTCATTACCGATCCCGGTGCAGTGATGTGGAAACATGGTAATGGCGAGGAATTGAATCGTGGCGAAAGGTCATATTTACCGCGATTCAGCAGACGTTCACCTCTTTAAGTTCTCTCTCAAGATCCTGAGCAGACACAAATCCTTTGGTCCAGCATT